AAGTAATTCAGAGCAAACTAAAATAGAATGTAGCTTATTAATGATAAATACTATTACATTATGGAAAATAATAAAGTAATTGTAATGATTTTTTGTATTAAAATTTCATTAATAAAATACATTTATTGATATTTTTTTTAAATTATATATTATAATTTTCAGTTTTTATTTACTTTGGTATAATAAATTTATTGTTTGTATATTTGCCTTCAATTGCTGCTATTTAAAGCACGTGGAAAATATATTTGACCCATCAACGGTCGTTTTCGGTAATTATCGCTTTCGGTAATTATCATGATAAATTTATATATAAGGATTCAACAAACTTGCCAGGTAACGACGATATTTTCACGTAGCGTCATGATGTCAGTCTGGGTGATCTCTTGCATCGCGATGTCACCTTGCGTGATTTCTTGCTTCACGATGTCACCTTGCGTGATTTCTTGCTTCACGATGTCACCTTGCGTGATTTCTTGCTTCACGATGTCAGATTGTGTGATCTCTTGTTTCACGATGTCAGCTTGCGTGATCTCTTGCTTCACGATGTCAACTTACGCGATCTCTTGCTTCACGATGTCAACTTGCGTGAATCTCTTGCTTGACGATTTTTTTTTATCAACATATTTAGGTACATGTGCATTTGTGCAGCTACCCCTAGACTACATGAAGGGGAGTACAGTGTGTCAAAAAGCTAGCTACGTGATGCTAAAAAATCCCCATCACACAGGATGGTTAGTCATACAGAAGCATATAGTCTGCACTGGCAGACGCTAGTTGCATTATGATGATGTCATGAACACAGGAGTGATTAAAGTAGTAGTGGTACTAAAAGTCCCCATTTCGCAGGCTGGTTTGTCATACAGGTTTGTTCAGTAGCCTGCACTTGCAAATTTTGGGGTGCATTATGAATATATCTTCAAGAACACGAGAGTGAATAATGTAATTGCAAAGATCCAGGTACCTCATGCCAACGGGTCTGAATGGTCTGATAACTTCACGATGTCAGCTCTCACTGCTTAGTGGGCCAGCCAGAGGCTTAGGGCCCGCGCAGGAATACTGCAGTTCTTCCTTGGCAACATTTCCAGTGTTGCCAGGTATCAAAATACTAAATCGCATTTTAGCCGTTGATTTTCGTTTGAAAATTTGTAGGCTTGATGGCCGTCTTCATCATTCTTCTGACTGCCTTCGCCTTTGTCAAGACCATCTTTTTTAACCGTAGGCATCACCATCTCCATCTATATAAAAGTTATGACCATCTCCCTCTTTCTCACCGTTGCCATGACCACTTGAGAGGTTGCATCAGTTTACTCTTTATTTACATACGTCTGCATGACACGTGGCTGTTGCCTTCAGCGGCTCTAAGGAATCTGCTGACTGTAGCCAACGTTCTTGTGTTTAATGTACTCATGGCTGAACGGATAACTAGTGTTGTTAGCTGAGTGTTGACAGAGGTATCTCAACGCTGACTGAGGCATATGAATGCTCCTCGCCACCTAGCGGGGGCTGCCTTGTAATCTATCCTCTCAGCTTCGACGTGGTTTGAAAGGCTTGCACACCACAGCATATTCAGAGTCATTAGTATTGTCTACATCCTTAGTTATTATGAAGAAGCTATAGTTGCTTTAAATACTTCTGAAGTTCTCTTTTCGTGTTTATTCAGTTATATATATAATTATTTCGCTGAAAACGACAGAAAGTTTTAGATTTATGATTCTGGCACGAATCTTCTCGATATTCCTTGCTGATATTGCTGAGGACGCATGAGTTACTCTAGGATCTGAATGAAAGTAAATGTTTTTCTTCACTGAAGCAGGAAGTTGAAAAATTCTCTCTCCTCATTTCCATAAGAGTTCACCATAAGAGGATATAACCAGGTGCTAAGCACAGTAGAATTTGTCTTTGAGAATGTGAGGACAGACCTTACGAAGCGCCTTACTAGGCGTCAGACCCTAATAAAAAGTACAAATTAACTTTGGAGAGTTAACTTTTCAACTTCCTGCTTTATTTGATTATTTGACATATAATACTTTGCTGATGTCTAATCTTTGTTATATATGTCGATTATTTTGATACTATTGATCAGGATATCTATGATGATGATCTGGTGGTGCGTAGAAATTATGTTCTTTGATGGAGGCTTAATGTTTGTGCTTTGCCAGGCGCCTCGAATAAGATGTTGTGCCAATATTTTGAGATCATTGGTACTGACAGTCCACATGTGGGTATGCAAAAGTATATACGACATTCGTCACCTTCAAGGCCTTTCACTTGGTTGTCTGGAGAGTTCGCCACGAACAAGTTTGCAGTCTCTTTGTTCATGTATTAGATTGTCAACTCTTGGGGTTCAGGTTGATGTCGGTAAGGATTAGGTTTCCGTCAGAATGTCTGATCTCTTTTCTCCGTCGAGTGTGTCGAGAATAGAAAGCTCCAGTTGAATAATGTAATAGATGGGGCATGCATAGGTGCTAGGTACATAGGGCATGCTGGGTAATGGTTATGAATTAGTAATGGGAGACAAATTCTATCAAATATAAGTAAAAACAAAATTAGCCTGCGAGGATGATTATAATATAATAACATAAACTTTGCTGACACAGTTTCGATTCACCTACCCAGAATGATTACTGAGCAAAACTGCGAGTAGAGCATCCAGCCTGGCTGGCCTTGTTGAGTTGCCTAGCTTGTTAAGAGGCCTCAGTAGGTGGCTCAGTTGACGAAGGCACGGCTAGAGTGTTGGATCTCCATCTGTTAGCAAGTACTTCGACGCTTCCTGCTGTAGACCTCGGCGCCTAAGACACTCTGAGACCCTCACCAGCAGCCTCATCCCCAGCATCAGTATTACGAACACCAACAGCAGGAACACCATCAATAATAGCACCAACATGAAAATCACGGCTGCGCTGGTTGTGACCTGGTTCTTGTATACGGTGACAGCCGCCCCTGTACAGAACTGTAGCACTGTCACCTACTCCCTCTCCTTCTCCTGTACGATTGTAAGTAATAAATAAGGTCCACCAGCGAGAATTCCAGTATCACACATAAAGTATCACAAACCAAAGAGATAACCACTGAACAGCACTTTCAGTTATGTCCAACAAATCAGCCCCACACTTCGAACACACATCAGTTATATCCAGGATGCCAACCTACGCTTCCAGCCGCAACACATATTATATCCACATTTTGCAGAGGGTGTGATTGTGGGATAGTGACTTTGCTGATGTCGCAGTGATTCACTGTCACTGTGGTGGTTGTGTTGTGAGTACCTAGAGTGGCCGTCTGGTGGCGATGATTGTATGGCATTGGTGGTAGCTATGATTTGCTCATGGTAATTGTTTTATGGTTACTGTTGTGATGGTTGATTGGTGTTGGTGGTTGTTTAGTGGTGGTGATAGAGGCTGTGTGGTTGTGGTGGTTGCGTTGAATTAAAGTTAACAGCACACAAACCCCAAAACACCCTCATTTCACAATTCCACTAACACTCTTAGTTCACAATCCCACAAAAGATAAATGTAGCTTTTAAAATTTGTATCTTATTTGTTTTAGAACCGGTTCTATTAGTCAGGTAAAACAGTCCATCCCAGCACCATTCACACTTTACTGAAAATAATATTATAACATAATCATTGACATAAAATAATTTCAGTCACTTGTTAATGTAAATATAACAAGCTTTTAACAAAAAGCAACAGACATAAAAAAATAATAATCATAATTGTTCTAATTATAACAATTATTATTATATGCAACAGTTAATGACAACCTTTAATCACCGTTTTAATCCTAGATTGCATTTTGTATTTCAGTATTTTTGTTCATTAACGGTATCTCTCTCTACCTCTCTTTGTGTGTATGCTAGTTAAAATAGCTAGCCTCCAAGCAACAGCCTTGTGGACCAAACTTTCACAAGTCATAGGCCGGGCTTGGGGAGTAAAAGAACTCCCAGAACCCCATCAACCAGGTATCAAGCAGGTAGCATATATAGTGAGTCAGAATTACTCCCTGTGCATCGCTAATAGTTACCTATGGGTCCGTATAAGGCAGGTATTCCTTCACCTTGCAGAAAGTTCACCACCTGGGCTGGCTGCCCTCCATCAGGGAGTTGGCTGAGATGGAAGCTGAACAGCTCAGGGTCCAGCTGTGTCCGTGTCAGCCGTTCCACATCAGCAGCGGCTGTCCCGCTAAAGTCTTGCAGCTGGCCGACAAGTTCACCCGTGCCAAGCTGTGTTCTTCAAGGCCCTAAACCTTGCGCATTGCTTATATGTTACACCATATGTGCCATTGTTTCAGTATAATCTTGTAATTGGAGTTTATGTGTGTGTGTGTGAGAACTGCTTATGAAGTCATTGTGTCTTCCAGCGTGCCACAAACCTTCAGTGTGAGGCTGGAAAAATTCACAAACGCTCTCAGTATACAAACCCATAAACACAGTACACAAACCCAGGAATTATCTGGGGGAGGAAGCAAGTAGCTTCTATACTATATGAAGTTATTTTTAGTATATTACTGTATTCCTTTCAACAATAAATGTAACGCTTACTTAAGTATGTTTCATATTAACACCAAATAAAGTTACATGTTGAATTTCATCCCACTAATACATATATATCACAATAATATTTTAGATATCCAAGTTAATCAAACATGTATATGTTAATAATGAGGTCCGAACTACGATCACTAACCTCAACACACAACACAACACTCTAATGGCTGAGTTAGGCAATTTGCAGGAAACCTTATTCATGTTGCAATAATTGAAGGTTTGAATCCTTTCACAGCATAGTAAGTATTTGCTCTAATGTTGTTGTTTAGGTGGAAACTCTCTCTCGCGTTGTTGGGATGGCTAGGCTTTCCCGGTATATTGCCCTCAGCGTTTTCTGTTTTATTTAGAATGTAAATAGAACGAGAAGGTAGGAATGTGTGTGTGTGGAATGCTGCTGCCTACCACGGGTGTATGTATGTGTTTATCGTATCACTTTAACAGAGGTGGCAACTGGCAACGTTTCCTTTCACCTGATGCAGCTGTTAACTCGCAGTAACTGGGAACTATAAGCAACAGTTGTGAGTTGCATCCTGGGCAAGGGTTAGCCTTTACCATCGACTGGAAACAGGCCAGCGACTTGGTTTTACTGGGAGATACAAACACCATAAGTTTTAGTGTATAGTGTTTTATTCCACACGAGCATACATTTGTACGTTATATTGTTATACACACTCAAACAGGTACAAAACTGACCCCCCATATCACATTTGTTATATATTTTTGGCCACAAGCATTAAGTCTCAATACTTTATATAAGAAATACAAATCTATAATGGCACCTAAGTCCCCTCCCCCCCCCTCCCTTCCTCCATAAAACTGCTTACTGGAAAACTCCGAAGGAAAAGCCTTGCAGTGTCTGCAAGATGTCGAGTGCTGACTTTCACTCTAGCACGAGTAAAGACAACGGCTTTGTCTTACTTGCTAAGCCACACCTTTCTTGTTTAGTAAAATACTGGTTGTATTCAGTGTGTGGTCTGTTCAAACCATTCTCACCTTCGGAAAGGTGCAATTTATATTTGTGTGATAAAGTTAGGCTATGTTTGGTTGCGTGATAAAGTTTGGGTATGTTTATTTGTATTATGGAGTTGGGGCATGTTTAGTTATGTGATAAAACTGGGGTATGTTTGTTGTGTGATAAGGTTGGGGTATGTTTAGTTGTGTGATAAAGTCAGTGTATATTTGGTTGTGTGATAGAGTTAGGGTATGTTTGTTGTGCGATAAAGTTAACTTCAAATTCAACGTAAATATCACATTCCTGGTAGACCAGCCTTTGACCATTGGACGTATGAGCACCATTACACAAGATTGATTGATGAAGATTAAGCCACTCAAGAGGCTTAACTAGTGCAGCCTAAGTCTCTCGTTGTATATAATTAACCCGACATATTTAGCTATTTATTAACTGAATTTAACTGTGGCATTTACGATGAGTTTTATAAAGGCTTATCCAAGTTCATTTGAGTTCCCATACTCTTCTGGAGGAGGTAGCCTAGTGTAGTTCATGGAACACTGTCCATTGTAATCATTTTTCCGCTACCGTTCTCTTGATGAGTATGTAGTACACAATCAACACTAAAAAATGTGGTGTTGTAAGAGGCATTGCGGCCAAAGGGAATCGAGGATGTGATTAGTCTCTCGCTCTCTCAAACACTCAGCCGTAACGGAGGACTTGGAATGACCTGAAGTGGTATTGGTTTAGATCAGAGAGAGAGAGAGAGTGGGTTATAAAGGTTTTTAACGGTTTAGAAGAGAATAAGTGGCTGTGTAAAGTGTGTTGATGGTCCGTAGAAACTGGTGGAGAGTGTCTAGGTTGAGCTGGGGTGCGTAAGCCGGCGGAGAGTTGTGGACAGTGGCGGGGTATCCAAAGTAGGGCAGCAGGAACCTTGCCAGGGCCGTGTCACCTCAGGGCTGTGTCACCTCAGAGCTGTGTCACCTTAGGGCCGCTTCCTAGCATTTCTGAAACATAGGCTGTATAAGTACTGCATATTGACACGATATACAAATTCTAGCAGATTACGATGACATTTATAACGAAGAGGACAAAGGATGAACTCTAACAATATATAGTTCGCGTTATGCCCCGACTACAATGAGATGCTGGGTACACTAGGATTGGTTAAATATTGATTTTGTTGTGTAGTTCTTACGTCTTAAATATTCTACACAATTTTTTTTTTTTGGGGTGGGGAAACTCATTTTCGGCAACAGGTTGGCTACCTAGATGTGCGTCCGAAACGCTCTGCGTACTTATAAGTTTATTAAATATATATTTTGCGTAAAGGCTATTCAACAATTGTACCATATTTAATTATTATTATTATTATTATTATTATTATTATTATTATTATTATTATTATTATTATTATTATTATTATTATTATTATACAGTCACTTCAACGATTCACAAATCTTACAAATGAATGCCTAATAACTAATCAAGAATGTTTCTGCCCGAAACGCTGCGCGTACTAGTGGCTTTACAAGAATGTAATTACTATGCTATGTATCCTCACAATCCCAATGTACCTTCTTGTATATATATATAAATAAATAAATAAATGTTCAATCAAAATATAGAATCTCCACATTGCTACAGATAACTGTAAAGAAAATTTACAGTATTAACTTATAAACTAAAAGTAAAATAATGTGTGAAAAAAAATAATTATTATAATGATAATAATAATAAAATTAATGCAAATAAAAAAACTGACAGATGAGCTGTTTATATTTGTCAATATGTTCCGTTTAAAACAAATATTTGTAATTCGCCAAGAGGAAGGCTAGCAGTGATTCCTTGGGATCTGCGGCATATGTAAAAAAATATTGATGTATCAGGTTTTTGTGGCGTATGGCTTAGGAGGCGGATTTGTTGTAAAGGTCGAGCAGGAGGAAGGAAACTTTTCTCCTCTCCGTAGCGATGTCAACAGCAGCCAAACCCTGGGCTTCCTAGTTTCTTATACAAAACTAGATTTATTTTGACAACTAAATTGATGGGTCACTTGCGAACTTGTGCGGTAATTCGATGTTCTTAACTGCCTTCATGTCCTTTATCTCATATAAAAATACTAGATAAGATACTCGGGAGTGCCCAGGTCTCTGCCTGTCTGTTTCTCTACCTCAATATGCAAACTTTGTGAGAAGAAACTGGGTCATGTTCTTATTACATTATTGAATCTCCAGTCATTAGATTCTTCACACTTGCCGGTATGAATGCATCTTGAGCTTCGTAATTACTTTATTCTCTCTCGGTTAGGCTGTTTATTATTGGGTGTGGCGTTGCTGGCGTGTGGCATCACTCGCGCTTGGGTCATTATATTTGAATCGGAAAATATTGGTTTTGGTGTAAGGTTGAAGACTTATCAACAGCTGGAGGGTTGTTAAGGCCACCTCAATAGCTTACTGACCAACCAGGAAGAATACTTTAGTCCCGAAAATTGTCCAAGACTAAATTAAACTCTCAGTGTATAATCATCGACAAGCAATGCATAATATGTCATGCAGAGAACTTCTCTTCATCTTGGTGACTGAGGGCACAGTCACCAAGATCTGCCAATCCCTGGCGCCAAGCCGGCGCCATCTCTCCGCCGGATACCACCCGGAAAACGAAAAAAAAACTATCAGTTCCCTGCGACCCCAGACGATCAGGGCACCAGGAATCGTATCAATCCTGACCGTTGAAGAGGAATGCCTGACCGCAGTATCGTGACGCATTGGATAAAATCGCCCCCAATGTTCCGGTGGTTCTCAGGCAGAGAAAGTGTGCAACGCCTGCTCGTCAAGGTGGAAATAGGATCCCAAGGAGAGTGTGTTAACTACACCAAAAAGTGTGCAACAATTCAATTGAATAATTTTCATTTCATCTGCATTCATACAGTTTTCATCGAATTACTGGTATTTCAAGTCTAGTTAAATTATAAGAAATTATATAGTCCGGCCAGACCCATCCTGTGAGCGGTTTCACTCGAGCATCATGGTCTAGATCCATCCTGGTACATTGTAATATGATATATAATTACGCATTATAAGCCTATATACAGGCTTCTTGTCCCCGACTAAACGAAAGAATAAAGTATTATTAAAATTAGAACTCAACCCTTCGAAATGAGAAAATAAGAGTTTGGGGTTTGCTTTATCCATTTTCTGTAGTTATTGACGTATTCATTTTCATTTAACAGCAGCGCGGAGGCTATCCTAAACGAAAACAGAACTGGCTGACTTGACTTTACACGAGAGCCATCGTGTCTAGTGGCCTCGATGGGAATATAAAGCCAGCAATTTATCAAAGATCCTCTCCGTTATTCTTGAAGATTTTTTCTAGCTGAATATTAAATTAAAGTACAATCTTGAAAGTCCCACATCAACTATTAATTTTCCAATGCTTACCATTGCGTAGGTCAGGAAGCCTGTACTTAGGCTTATCCATAGTTTCCTTAGGCCAACTACTGATGTTTTTCAAGAACACATTAGAGAATCGGATACGTATTTTCTGCTAGGCAAACATCTAGGCAGCAGATAAGGAAACGCGCCAAAACGTCTTGCCCAGCGAGGGCGAGATCCAGTCGGTTGATCCAATCGGTTGTGAGCCAAATGCACTAATCACTGCGCATTTTAAGGTAGCTTAAAATACATAATATAACATTTATTTTTTTACATACTGCACTGACTCTAATGTACAATACTAATAATACTACTACTTCTAATAATAATAATAATAATACATAACCTTCCTGTTTTAGGTAGCCTTCAGGGAGGTCGTGATACACAACTTGTAATAGTATCACGGTCCCCTGATGGACCGTGATGTAGCGTGGTCCCCCACCAAGGGGGACCATGATACATCACAGACTTATTAGAGGTAGCTCCAGAAAACCATGATACATAAACCACTTATTGGAGGATTCTATCAGGAGACGTAATGGTACCTACCTCGAAGCATAGCCCTCGGGTTTGGAATGCTGGCCACTGGGAGCTTTGGAGAATCTTCCATTGGTCGTCGGGGACGCCTTTGAAGGGCTTAAATTTGTGATGTGTCGACTCTTGATGTTGTGTATATTGGAACCTGATATTTTCTCCGACGTCTTCAGTTCTGAAGGTTTATGTGAGGTTGAATGTGGCGTCCGGGAAGTTAGAGGCGGCTTTCCGGAAGTTGAATTAGGTTTTCCAGAGGTCGTAGATGGATTTCCGGAGGTTGCATGTGGCTTTCCAGCGGCTACAGATGGCTTTCCGGAGGTTGAATGTGATTTTCCGAAAGTTGAAGGTTGTTTCCCAGAGGTTGTAGGTGGCTTTCTGTAAGGCCCTGGCGGTCTCTGAGTGGCAATTGTCGTTGGTAAATTCTTCTCGATGCGTATCGCGGAGACGTGTTGTCGTTTGTTGTCGGTAGTCAATTTCGGCTTTCTGTTCATGTCTGCTTTGTGTGCTAAGTTGTACTCGCTATCGGCCTCAATTCCCGAGTCACTGGAACGAGTGGTGCTGGCAGAGGAGCTATCAATGGAGCTCTCGGGTGTTATCGGTCGTGGGGGGATGATTTCATTCAGCATTGTCGCAAATCTAACCACCTTCTTCTTTTTCTTATTTCCATCATCCACTTCTATTGTTTCGCCGACGTTTTCAGCCGAATCGTTGCCCTCGACCGGGACTTTGGGTGGAGTAGGTGGTCGATAATCAAGGTCAACGAGCTTGTTCACAACGTCATCAACGTCTTCAGTCGTTTCTGGGGATTTCTGACCGGCGGCAGCGCGCTGTGCCCCAAGAACAACAGGGTTACCATTTCCCATATTAACAACTACTGGTTCCTTTTCAAAATCATAATTATCATCTATGTGATACTGACCGTCGAAGTCTGTGAGCTCCTCATACCCAAGCATCACGTCACAGAGGCTATAAACGAATTTCGGCGGTTCTACAATTTGTCGCATGAAGCCTAACAACGGTTTATTTTCTTTCATATCCAAGAAAGTATCTTCAACTGTCCGAATATGAAGTCCTTCTGAAGTTGAAAACAGAATTGGTGTCTTGAAGTCAATGGTGTCCTTGTTGTTGCTCTTTTGTTTCTTCTGTGATTTCCCAGAGCCATCCTTCTTCTCCGATGTTTGGGTGGTAGGCAGGCGGTTGGCGTAAGGGCGCGTGGGTTTGGGCGAGGCTACATCGACGGAGTTGGGTCTACAGCACATGATGAGGCCCTCACACTTGACTCGCACATCCCTTAGTATGGAAAACACTAAAATTGGCACTAGTACGTCGAAAATGAAACGGAACCACACGGCCACTGTATCAAAGACCGACGTGTCTAGTATCTCTGGAATGAGACCTTCGTTCACGGTAATGTTGGACATGTCAGGCGTCATGTCTGAGGTGATATTGGCGGGGGTCATGTTGACAGCTCTGAGCTGACTCTCGTCAAGCATCGCTCGGGTCACTTTAAAGTTACCGCCGGCCGAGGGTGTGAATAGATTGTAGTTATTGTTTGTGGAGGTATTGGTGGTTTGGTTAGCCCAATGTTGTGTCACCATGGGGTTGATAATGGAGAGGGCGGTGAAGGGCAACCAGAGCACCAAGTACACTATCACTATACACATCGCAAACACCGCGGGATAAAACTCGTTACGGAAATAAGGCGTCATCAAAATTTGCTCAAAGTAACCTATAGTTTGGTTGCCTTTAACCTTCTTTTGTTTTCGGCGCTCCCTGTGGAATATAACCGAGGTGATGCACACCAGCGCCACCATGACAACGGTCGGTACACACACCACCAGCACTAGGTGGATGATGAGGTAATAGTCGTCCAAGGGGTCGGCGACGCAGCACGAGTATCTGTTCCTATACGGTATGCTTTTGATGTAGCCACATACCAGGGGCACTGCCATCAGAAACGACAACACCCACGTTGTGAGGATCATGAGCCAAAATTTGGACTTGGCAGTTTGGAGGAAAGAATTATATTTCTTGGCTGCAGCCAATCTGTCGATTGCCAGCAGCACGACTGCGAAGGCCATCTCGCTGTTCATCATATTAATTGTAAAACTGTTTAAGTAACTTATATCATAACCAAACCTCCACTGTGTGGTGAAGACGTAGCCGATGGCAATACTGAGGTTGAAGAAGCAGTCGACCATACTGGCGAGGCAGAGGTTGATGAGGAGGTGACAGTAGAGGAACCTCTTGAGGGTGTAACTGGTCGACACAGTCACCACTACCATTAGGTTGAGGATGAAGGCCACTAGGAATATCACCGACAGGAAGGAGCCGGCGATTATAGGTGTTGGGTCCTGAGGACACGGGGTGATGATAGGCTTCAATACAAAGCTTCCGTTCACCTGTGACAGCTCAAAACTGATTTGGTAGCCGTCACACATCTTGTCTGAGGCAGTAAGACTTGCACTCTACTACACACTATTATATTTCCTTCTTTTATTCCTCCATTTCCTCAAAACTTGGTTGTGCTCATCTTAACTTACAGTTTCACTTTAAAATAGTTACATATAACTATATATATACATCTTCAGTTACGTTGCTTTGAAACAGACGTGTTTGGTTTACACATAAACAAAAACAATCTAAGACAAAAAAAAATTACGCAATAAAGTTTTCGAATTCCATTTCCGTTGCTTTATCTGTAACAATCTAGCTGGAATGCATTCAAGGGTTGTGGAGTAGGGTGGAGACGTTGGCCCGGAACCCCAAACACCGTCAGCGAGCACTACTTTATACTGTTTCTTCTCCGTTTGATGAGTCTACATGGAGATACGTCCCGTGACCCTTGATAAGGTGCGGTCCTCGTCGCCGCCACATGGTGGGAGGCAGCAAGCCCGCCTCCAACACCACCTCCTCCTTTACCTGCAACCCAGGAAACTCTGTTACAACCGGGTTATTCTATCTGTCTCCTCGTGTAAATTAACATAACAGGAAACTTTCGCACACTACCCTCCATTGCTGGAGGTGAACAGAACACCTGAAAAAAACATATTATGCAATTAACACATGTGTTGGAATGTTCATGTGTGTGTCATTCATGACAATAGCAACTGTGGTGCTTGACTTGAAGTGACTGTAATACTCTTCTAAACAACATAAATCTACTGCGGGCTCACCGTGGCCCGTGCTACTTGTGTTCCGGGTAGCGAATCTTAAACAACAACAACTAAACAACACACACACACACACACACACATATATATATATACACACACATATATACTTGTGATCAATTATTCAAAATTATTTGCGATATTGTAACATTTAAATACAACACAAATAGTACTTAATTCAATAATGTTAATGCTAGGACACCAATTCGTGCACAGTAGATACAACGTTAAACAACCTCGTATGTAAACAATTGCAATAAAAATAGTACCTGGCTTTCCTCAGTAGCTTGGGTATTTATAGGACTCGCAAAAGACCAAGGTATATACATTCCTTGGGGATGTATAGTACATCCCTTGGGATATATTCTGCGTTTCGGTGTATATACACTGAGTTTATTTTAGTCTCCGATTATATTCAGGTGTAAAGTTTTCTTGTGGTTGGTTAGTAAGTATTAGTGTGCCCTTGAAAATGAAGCACACATCAATAATTGTTAAAAAAAAAGGTACAATTCTTTCAGAGTAATGTAATTGTTTAAACAATAGAAGTGAGTATTCATCTGAGTATCGTCATTCCCGCCTAAGTAAATATTATCATTCACGCGCCTGAGTAAGCTATCACTAAAAAACTTTGGTAAATTTATGGATGATAACAAATAACAGGTGTTTGTGAAAGTCATCACCATGGTGACTGCCCCCCCCCTCCTCAGACGCCATTACCTGCAGTATGGCCAGATTCTGGATGGGTGACCGCGAGCCTCTACCTTGAGTAGAAGGACCTCGATAACTTTAACAAGTTTACTGTCCCACTACATTAGTATACCATACTCTACCTACCGTACCGTACCATGCCACTCGCTACCATACCATACCTTACTGGAAGATTGTAGTAGCGAGAACAGTCTTCATTATCTGTTTCAAGATAACCAATAAGAATGGTAGTACTGGACACTATTTGAAACATACATTACAGAATGTTAAAATGTCGTTAAAACTTGCTTAATTGTGATTACGGTTATTATGTTAAAATGCCGTTACACGCCTACTAATGTTTAACGATCAGCAACTGCAGTCCAGTGTCATCGTCAAGACTGAGAACACACCACAATGAACCTTGCACATTGATGGTCTCAAAGATAGGCGTGACCGGCTCAATGCTGATGAGTATGGAACTCGATATTTTGCCTGACCTTAATTTCACGGGTATAATCAATGGACATGAAGTGTTTCATGTCTGTTTCATGTTTAATGTTTCAGGTGTTTCACTGTCATGCCTCGCCAGCGATATAGCACATTATACTACCAACAAGAGTAAGGGGAGACGACCCACCAAAACATTAGAACTGGTGTTTACTCAAAATGAGGACGATATCGAAAATATAGAGCATGAGAAGTCCTTTGGAACTAGTGAGCATTGCCTTATCATCCTGGAGCACATAATGAAGCTAACGGAACTGGTTAGACCAAGAAACACGTTGAGGAAGAAGAAGAGAAATTAAAATCGTGGGAGCCTAGGGGAACATGATCGCAAAGTATAGGATACTTAGGGGGGAATTGACAAGGACAAGAACAGCCTCTTTAAAGTAAGAGAAAGTAGAACAAGAGGCTATAAATGGAAACTGGAAACTCAAATCAGTCTAAGAAATGTAAGTAAATACTCGAATTCTTTACAGGTGGTTAATAAGTGGAACGCACTGAAAGAAGTTCTGAAAAGACACCGCAATCCACAAAATTAATTAATTTAGCCAGATTTGACAATGAATACGAACGTCAGAATATTTAAATTATAACACAACAGATACACGTCCTGATAGTCACTGATAGATAAGTCCTTATAGGTAACTTCGCAGATGGTGGTATTAGAATACACCAGTAAGACGTATACAAGCTCTTGGATCACGGGCCAATGTTTAGTGTGATCAACAAATGCGATCAAAGCAGCGTAACCAGTAAGGCGGTCAAGGCCGCGTGACCGGTAAAGCGGTCAAGGCCACGTGACCAGTAAGGCGGTCAGGGCCGCCTCATGGAGACACTTTGAGGCCGACAATGGTTAAATGCAATTAATTACTCGATTCTCTCGCGTTTCTCGTCGTCTCTGTGATTTAATTGTCTCTAGTTTCCTTGTGTGTTGTGGTCGTTTCCTTGTGCGTTGTCTCTAATTTCATTGTTTGTTGTGTCTAGTTTCCTTGTGTTTGTGCTGACTCTAGTTTCCCTACGAGTTGTTTCCAGTTTTCTTATGTGTTGCGTCTAGGATCCTTGTGTTGTCTAACTTCCTTCTGTGAGGAAGATACATAACCACAGTCAGAGCTGTGTTTATGTATCTCCCTCACGCTATCTTCCAGAACTATGGTTATGTATCCCCCTTACACACTCAGCCAGAGATGTGCTTATGTATCCCCCTTACACACTCAGCCAGAGCTGTGGTTACGATGTATATATATTCCTCACACTATCGGCCAGGGCTGTGTTTATATAGCTTTCTCAAGCTGTGAGTTACATCTGTAGTTATATTTTTTCACTTAATAATATTTGTATGGTTGACAAATGCACCCAATTGTTAGGTGAGGCAAAATTCTTTACCAAGCTTGACTTAACCGAACAACCTCCCATAGACTGTCCTAACCAAAAACACATTTCCTAATCAAAATATTGTTCCTAACCTAACATAATAACAAATGCGTGTTTATGTAGGCCTGCAAAATCATAATATAAAATTATATATTGTATTATTATATTAATCTTGTATTAATACTATATTTCGATATACTTTCTATATATAGAAAGTATATCGGTATTAATCTTGTAAACGAGTTAATACTATCCTTTTTAAATAATAACGCATATGCCTTTGGTTTGATGTTGGGTTTAAAGCCTATCAAATTCTGGAGAGTTATTCAGACCACCACAGTAGCTTGCTGACCAACCAACAAAGTATATTTTAGTCATAAACATTGTCTAGCATTAAAGTAAACTTTCAGTGTATATATACCGAGAAGCAGGGTACACCTATGGGTGTGTATATATATCCCAGATGTAAATTCCACTCGCCACTGCCTACAAGCAACTGCAAACTAAAAAAGTTAAAAAGACTACAAAAAAAGATACATTTTAGTTTACCCAATCGGTTCCACAATTCACGTGGTATTGTAGTGATGGTGACTTACGTTTGATCACGGCTTATAAGGTTGCTTGGAGATCATGATGACTACAACGTTATGGCGACGTGTTATGATGGTGACTGCTGGTCCACCTCAGGAATGTGTGCCTGGGCTCACTACCAATCGTTGAACAGAACTTTGTTTACATTTTTCTTATATATCAAAACCTTACATTCACAGTAACTATATATTCTACTTTTAGCGAGATAAAATGACTGTTGAATTAACTGTTCATTCCTAAATGAACTGATATTGCACTCAACGGTCGTTCTGCTCAAGAATTTCCTTGCGATTTCAGAGCTAGTTTAGGTAGACTTTTTCACTGCACTGTGAAATAACTTTGTTACTCAGGGCGAGGAGGAAGTAATGCGGTGAAGTAGACGTATTGAGAGATGGGGAGCCAGAAGGCTTGGTTGTTGAGAGTGTTGTGTGTAGCTTGGAGTGGTGGTAGGTAGCCTAGCACATGACTGTTTGTAAGGTAACCACGGAGACGGTAATCAATAGCCTAGCTCCACCCACCTCATCATACGGGTCGTGTCTAGCACTTTGCGTGACACGGTGTCTAGTACACAGCGTGACACTGAGTCGTGTCTAGTACTCCGCGTGACACTGTGTCGTGTCTAGTACTCCGCGTGACACTGTGTCGTGTCTAGCACTTTGCGTGACACGGTGTCTAGTACACAGCGTGACACTGTGTCAGGTCTAGTACAACGTGACACTGTGTTGTGTCTAGTACAACGTGACACTGAGTCGTGTCTAGTACTCTGCGTGACACTGTGTTGTGTCTAGTACTCTGCGTAACACTGTCACGCATACTAAAGAATTTAATGATGAAAGCTTTACTAGACAAGACTGTTAAGAATGTTAGGTCTTTTTAATGCTTAATATTGTTCTTTTTTATAATTTTGCTTTTTACTTTATATATATTTTTTACTTATTTATTAATCTTCTTAATTGATGTTGATTTTTATAAATTTTAAACTTTTTATTTATAATTTTTTTCAACTAATTTTTAGTGAGAAATTTTGTTCTCTGGTTTTAGCACTGATGATCTAGTCTTCTCGTGTACCCTCGTGAATCGAACTATTAGCTCTTGGACCCTGTCTTCATAACCAAAAAATAAATCTATTTTTCCTCTATTATATCTACATAAGAACATATGAATAAAGATAACTGCAGAGGGACTATTGGCCCACACGAGGCAGCTCCCATTTATAACCACTCAAATACATGTCTAACTACATATCTATATCTACCACATATACTTCTCTCTTATACACGTACACTTCCCCAGGAAGCACTCCGTAGCAGCTGTCTAACTCCTAGGCATCTATTTACTGCTAGGTGAATAGGTGCATCAGGATGAAAGAAACTGCCCATTTGTTTCCACCTCCGCCAAGAATCGAACCCGGGCCATTATGACTACGACCTTCAACCGCTGTCTACTCAGCCGCAAGGTGTGTGTAATCGAGTTATCGATAATAAAAAATAATTAATATTGAAAATCTTTATTCATTAATAAACACATGTTTACATTTATACATATTCAAAAATATTAATTATTAAAATGGTTGCACATTAAAAATTCACTTAGTAAACTAACCTATATTATTTTAATGTGTATTATAAATTTCATAATTAAAATCGACATATTCTATACATAATATAGAATAGCAAAACTAATGAAAACTATAATTTAAATCAGAAAATCATAATTACTTTCTTTATAGTTTAATTAATTTATGATGCACCCCATACCCATTAAACCTGGACCTGGAACAGGACCTGGACCAGGTCCTGGTCCAGGTCCATCGCATGAGCGGTGGTGGAACTGGTTACAAAGCCACACAATGGATTCAGGTACTGAACCAAAAGACTTTTATTTAGCAAAGCATTACAGTCGTGTCAAGATAGTTACTTAATTTAACGTGAATACTAAACAGGCACACAATTATAACAAAATGGGTTCAAGAACTTGATTGTACCCGTCTCTAAACCAGGTAATTTACATTTTCTATTAAAAAGTATGAATTAAATTTGATAGCTAACTAACATGAATTAAATGTCATATGAAATAATGGAAATTTGCATAACTTTAGTATTTTATGTAAATATAACTTGTTATATGATGTCAGTAACCAGCTGGGGGTCTCCCTGCTTTCTCTGCTGACTTTGGTGTTTTATTCTTTCTTGTAGATCCCCCACTATTATATACAGCACTCATTTTTAGGTTAAATTTTCGTACAGTCAAGTTAATATTTCTGGCAAAATTTGAGTGGCCAGTGATAAGTGATTGCATAAAAAAAAGAGCTTATTGTGCTTGGTGGATGTTATTCTTCTCAGACAAAATTATATATTTAGTTTGTTGATATTTATTCAAGTGCAGGTGTGGGTATCAGTTCCAAACAAGAAATTGAAATGAATACGAGGAGGGACACACGAGGTATGTCGCGGTCATGTCCTTTAGTCCAAGGTCTAAGTCTCGCAGCTCCCATACCTCACATTCATACAAATTGACACATTGATTGTTAAACTACTTTCGAATGGGTATCAAGATGACCAAATTCACTCAAAATGACATTTATTTTAACTTACTAGTCTCTAATAGCATCATAATATTTTACAATCTAGCCCTCTGAGGATATAATATGTCCCATATGATTTTCCAGAATACTTTACCGGAATCTTCCCCTATCTACCTACAAATTGCAGTGAATTATCAGCAACTTACAACACAGTTTCCAGGCTTGAACGCGAGGTTGTATTTAGTAGCACATCTCATGTATTACTATCACCTTTCCTATAGCATCTTTGGTTCGTGCTACTGAAACTAGACCATCAGCAAAGCAAATAAACATTGGCCTTAGTACTGCATGTATGCCTGACATCTTTGCTGGCATTTAACTCTTTCACCAATAGATAAAAATACAGTAAATTTTAAAGAGTTAAACACAGAACATTTGACCCAATATGTACTAAAAAAAATTAGAATACATAATTCCATTTCACATTTATTTTACACTGCTCATAAAAAATATATAGATATTTAGCCATTACTGGACAATGCTTAACAATTAATTAAAAAGTTTAATGCGATCATCTGTGTCAAAAGCTTCGGAAGTATCAAGACTCAGAGAGAGAACAGAGCTAGGGACCTGCAATGCATTTTTATGTGTGTGGATTTGTGTGTGGATTTGTGTGGAGACAGGAGGGTTACTCAGTAGACAAAATATTGACATTCTTGCGAGGCAGGATCAAGTATAACATTTGGGATTTACGGCTCATGCTGTGTGATGATATGAAAAATTGGTTTACTGGGAATAATATAAACTATGAATGTAGTACTTTCCCTCTTACATTGACGTAAATATTATCTTTATATTGTATATTATTGTATATTAAGAAAAAAATGCTCGTCAGCTAGAAAATCAATGAATAAACAGTCAAATACAAAGTTTAAAAACATTTTTATTGGTACAACTCGAATCAGAGAAAGCCTTAGACACAAAGATATGTAGAAATACAGTTTCGGTGTCCTCGTGAAAGGCGATATTTAATATGCATACATATTTAATCCTAGTGATAAGCGATTATCCCTTAAGGGAGAATATATAAGGCGGAAAAAATGGTGAAGTTTATATGGAAGGATAATGAAGAGTTTGGAAGAATAATGAGATGAAAGTCATTCACAAAAAAATCATTATACAAATGAGCGGTTCATAACAAAACAAACTGCAAGAAAGTGTCAACAAACTTCTTTAAAAAGTTGGAGCACGAGCACATTATGCATAGTATAAACACTATAGTACATTAAATTTTATAAAATACTATAGTTTAGGATACACCGCTGATTCTTCCCTCGCTCATAAAGCATTTTATGCGTTTTCTATACCGTTTTTAAGCCAAATAAAACGCTGTGCTTTTCTTCCGACTGCCTTGTGTGGGCATGAGGGAGGCTACGTCCACGGACTCTTGTCGGCGACACGTGACGAGGTCTTTACACTTGGCCCGCACCTCCCTCAAGATGATCAACACTAGGACAGGCATTAGCACGTGAAATGAGAAACGGAACCACACAGCCACGGTGTCAAAGATCGGGGAGCCTATTATTTCCGGAATGATGCCCACGCCATTGGTACTCTTGGAGGCGTTAGACGTCGCGTTGGAGCTGGTGGAATTGGCAACGTTGGTGGCGTTGGCCACGGGATTGGTGCTTCTACCGGAGCCGCCGGTCGTTTCGCTGGCCCAGTCCTGTGTGAGCATTGGGTTGATGGTGGTGAGGGCGGTGAAGGGCAGCCAGAACGCCAAGTAACCAACCACTGTACAGGTCACAAACACCGCAATATGGAACTCGTTCTGGTAGTAAGAAGAATTCGTTCTGCGCTCAAAGAAACCGGCCATTTGGTTGCCTTTGTTTGTCATTTCTTTTCGACGCTCTCTGAAGAATATGACCGAGGAGATGCAGACCAGCACCACCATGACGACGGGCGGCACACACACTACCAGCACCAGGTGGAAGATGAGGTAACTGTCATCCCTGGGATCGGCCACGGAACAAGAATATCGGTTCCTATACGGCATGCTTTTGATGCGGCCAATGACCAGGGGCACCGCCATCAAGAATGATAGCACCCATGTTGTCAGAATCATGATGGCCAGATCAGACTGTGAAGCGTAAAAGCAAGAATTATATTTCTTGGACGAAGCCAGTCTGTCGATTGCCAGCATCAAAACTGCGAAGCCCATCACGCTGTTCATCATATTCATTGTAAAGCTATTTAAGTAGTTGATTTCATAACCAAACCTCCACTGTGTGGTGAAGACGTAGCCGATGGCAATACTGAGGTTGAAGAGACAGTCAACCATACTGGCGAGGCAGAGGTTGATGAGGAGGTGACAGTAGAGGAACCTCTTGAGGGTGTAACTGGTCGACACAGTCACCATCACCATCAGATTGAGGATGAAGGCCACCAGGAATATCACCGACAGGAAGGAGCCGGCGATTATAGACATTGGGTCCTCCACGCAAGGGCCAATAATGGCTTTCTCCTTGAAGTCTGATTCGAAATCGGTACACATCTTGTCCGGTTAACAATAAGTATGTAATTACCCAATGACTATTTAGCTTTACACTTCAATAACTATTTATCATCAGCTGCGTACTGTTCAAAAGGCATTTTTAAACAGTGCGAAGTACTTATACAATATTGAAATTTCAGTACTTAAATTGCTCTTGGAAATATATAACAGTTTTTCGATTTAATTGTTAATTAATTTTAGTGGATCTAGGTGGGAGTTGACACGAAGCTCCAGCTCTTGTGCGTCACTCTCAGTGGTGTCGAAGCACCACCACCGCCACCACCTCACCCACCACCGCCACCACCTCATCCACCACCGCCAACACCTCATCCACCACCCTGTAAGATAGAAAACAAGACATTAACATCACTGATGTGACTATTTTGTGACACGGTAACAACAGGGTGTTATTAATACTCTACTGCCTTCGTCACAAGAGGTGAACTGGGTACTTAAAGATGTTAATAATACACCCTGCCTGCTGTATATTACGTAACCCGGCTGCCTTGTACCCACTGAACCTGTGCCTCTGAAGATGTTGAGAAGACCTTCCAGCAACCCACGTCCTTCAGCGACTCACGTTAGGCTCAATTTTAAAGTTAATGTCAGAGTTAATTTTTAAATTTCCTTTCCAACTGAACAAGTTCATAAGCACTATGGAGTAGGTTCGTGATATAATCATTAATCTCACCTTTTCCCTCGTGTTATATTACACATGTCAACAAGACTGATGATGATATATATATATATATATATATATATATATATATATATATATATATATATATATATATATATATATATATATATATATAAACCACTAACCTCAATCTTCTCAAGTTTTGTATATGTGTATATTATATATACACTTATAGCACGTATAGACTCCACTGCTAGTCACACCACTGTTGAAATTCCAGTTTTTACTTCAAGGAACAAAGGAGAGCACGTGATGATCGCTTGCAAACTCCGAATATCTTGTTGACTCTCCATTGCATTCATTAACACATTCCGACCGCACTATACAACAGTGTCTGTACTGGATGCCTCGATGGTCACACCTACTGGGCAGTGAGGACGGAGTACTGCCTAGGCTACTGACCGGGCAGTGAGGGCGGAGTACTGCCTAGGCTACTGACCGGGCAGTGAGGGTGGAGTACTGCCTAGGGTACTGACCGAGACCGTTGTGACCGGCCAGTGTGCGCAATAGTCCCGCTGGCAAGTGTCTCTGTTTGTAGGTAACCACAGAGACGCAGATCAATAGGTTACTCCCCCACTCCTCGGGGTAACCAACCCGTCGTCTCACTTAATATGTCGCCTCCTGAACGTAATCAACCGGTTTGTTAAAATTACCAGGTATTTGTAAAAAAAAAAAAAAATAGAGTACTGTAAGGCTGTCGTTTTCTATGCCTCAGTTTCGATAGGTTAGGTCGGTTGCTTGTGTTCATACGTTTCTGGTTAGGGAAAACAGTTGAATTGTTAACGGACACACTGAGAGGCTACTATATATTCCCTCCGCCCCCCAGTGTGGGGGAAATATGCCGGGGGGGAGTCCCAAAGCCCCCCCCCCCCCTGTTTGGGGGAATATACCGGGGTGGGGGTCCCACAGCCCCCTGTGTGGGGAGAATATATCCGTATCCTATTCTGAATCAAGATTCATCAAGCACTCACGTAACCATTTGCGAAAACCGTACCTATTTCCTAAATTATGTCGAATTTGCCGACTTTTATTAAAAAGTTTATGATTTCAAAAACTACTGTGACTACCTGTGACGTCGCGAGAAAGAGACCTGGGCGTGGACGTAACACCTAATCTATCTCCTGAGGCACATGTAAATAGGATAACGACAGCAGCGTACTCTACACTAGCAAAAGTTAGAACATCATTCAGAAACCTAAGTAAGGAGGCATTTAGGGCGCTTTACATTGCCTACGTGAGGCCAGTCTTAGAGTATGCCGCCTCATCATGGAGTCCCCATCTGAAGAAGCACATAAGGAAACTGGAAAAGGTTCAGAAGTTTGCAACGAGACTCGTCCCAGCGTTACGAGGGATGGGGTATGAGGAGCGCTTGAAGGAACTGAGCCTTACGACACTAGAAAAGAGAAGGGAAAGAGGGGATATGACAGGAGCGTATATACTCAGGGGAATTGACAGAGTGGACATAGACGAAATGTTCACACGGAATAATAACAGAACGAGGGGACATGGGTGGAAGCTGGAAACTCAGATGAGTCACAAAGATGTTAGGAAGTTTTCTTTCAGCGTGAGAGTAGTGGAAAAATGGAATGTACTTAAGGAACAGGTTGTGGAAACAAATTCTCTTCACAATTTCAAAACTAGGTATGATCGGGAAATAGGACCGGAGTCATTGCTGTAAACAACCCATGGCTCGAAAGGCGGGATCCAAGAGTCAATGCTCGATCCTGCAGACACAAATAGGTGAGTACACACACACACACACTTCACCCCCACCTATGACACCATCTTGATATAGAACCTGCTCTATATGTGTGAAGGTGTGTACATGCACACACCTTCACACATAGTATTAACACCATACAAAAAGATCATGTGAGTGGTATATTAAATTGTTTTTACGTTTTTTTTAATGGCTAGGCTCTGGATCAGGAGCCTAGCACAAAAACGCGAGCGGTTATTCAGCACTGATTTAATGTTTTTGTTCTATGTGTTTTGTACGGGGAAACAAATACAAACAAGAATGTAACGAAGTTAACCGACATAGAACGACGGTAACAAGCATAAAACAATGTAAACGACCATGGAATGTCGCAGCCTATTCTCTAAGTTTGCCACTCCGTAAAAAATGCAACTGTTTCACCTAACCAGTAACGTACGAACCTGAGCAACCCACCTAACCCATCGAAGTCCACGCGCAAAAAAAATATTATGATGTTTAAATTTTTACCGTTACGTCGCATTTTTAACGGATATTTCGTACACAATGCGACGTATTGGGTGAGAGGACTAAGATCTGAACAAGTGTTCGCGGAGCGTTGAGGTGACAGGAAGAACGGAATTTAAATGCTCATAAAACACCTGTACCCGTGTACAGGTGTGTGTGTGTGTGTGTATGCTGGGACGAGTGCGTACATCTGTGTGTGTATTCATGGGCTTTGTAAATGGAACAAATGGTACCCGAACCACAATTTGCGTCTAGCAACTTATAATAATGATTATCCTACTTTGATCCTGTGTCTGGTTTAATTGATAGTAACCATCCTTGTTAAACTGCAACACTAAGGAAGAATGGTTTAATTAATAAATGTCTTAACAAAATGCTACGAACGATTATCGAGACGCTTAACGAAGCCATGGTCGTTCAGTGTCGGTATGTGTCACTCAGGTGTTCTAATACGTATGTGAGTAATTTGGAAAGTGTTCCATTCGTGTTACCTGTGAGTGAATCACAGCGACTAACGTGAGTGTGAGAGTGCATTAGTAAGGCGCTTGACATTGACAGAAGTAAACACAAGTTTGTCGGTGTGTCCAAGGTTGGAGGCCAGGCGTTTGGGGCTAGCCTCACCAAATTTTGCAGAGTGAATGGTCCGGGGTATGGGTCCGGTAATCCATAAGTAAATAAATAATCCATTTCCATCTATAAATCCAACATTATGTTTGTAACTCATCGTCTATGTATGTAATTTTACCTGAATAAACAAAAAATTAATTTAATTTAATTTAAATTAACTTAATTTAATTTTAAATTTAATTTAATTTAATTTAATTTAGGTGCTTAATCGGGCGAACGGCTGGAATATGCATATCATAAATATTTTGTTAATTTTTCCAGGCATCAGTAAGTAATGTTGCATATTTTTATAACACAACAAAAATTATTGAATTGATTTTTTTGTTTCCAAAATAATTATCGGTTTGTCGGCAGCCAGTGCCAAAAAATCGGCGTGCGGGTGTGAATGTGACCCCGGCACACTGTTCCCTCCTGAATTCTGACGACCCCGACCAGCTTATGTAATTTATGTAATCATTCCTTATGTTAATTTTCCTGTTTCCCCACATCAAGGAATACATTGTTCCTGTATTTCTCCATAATGTTTTAAAACAGGAAAACGATCGGAATTTTCATTGGATACTTATGCATAACCGAATCAAGTGTTTTTTTTGTGATTATTCTTGCATGTGTGTGTGTGTTTGAATGAAATAGAATATAAGAGGCCGGGGCATCGTAACATCCATGTTGATTCAAAGGCCCAATAATGACGTCAGAAGTCAGGTAGTCAAGCCATTTTTGTATCACTGTTATTGTTTTTATCACTGTTATTATTATAATAATAATTATTATTAAATTTACCAATTTAAATGGTTAAAATGTTTACATATATGGGGTAGATCAAAGTTGCAACAGAATGTTATAAGCGGGGTCGGTGTGCTGAAAGCAAGAGATATTATTAAGTGGATATTTTTCAAGTGGGCGGAGCATCTGGCTGATCCCCTTCCTGTGATTGGTTGTTGTGGTGAATGTCAACAAAGCGTTTCTACCAATGGGATGAAAGCGCTGGAATGCTTCCATCAGCACAACATTTCCACCTTATGGGCTGCCGTTCGCCTATTGATAGTGCAATGTCATGCCAACAGATGGCACCACCTGTATTTTTCATGCAGCTTTGTGGTGGCCTGTTGATAATGTAATTTTATGGAAATGGCACCGGCTGTATCTTTAGGGCTACTGCTAACCTAACCTGTTGATAGTGCTTTTTCTGCAGATACACAAATCCTGTAGCTTATGATAAGGTTTAATACCCTGCAGGAATTAGCTAACTCCATCTTTTTATTGATCTATCCATCTATCCATGCGTGAGTCTGAAGAGTCCAGGACCTAGATTCAGGAAGCTCTGTGTATTTCTTCGTAAGTGGGTTTGCTACGAAGGTTCCTAAGTGCGCCCTAAGAAGATGCTTAGGTGCTATTCAATAAGGTATACTTAGGAAGAAAAATTGTTGGTTCACCTGCGTGCCGATAGAGGTCACTACTGTGTTTCGTTTGGCCAATCAGAGAGCAGCAACATTCTTCATATTGAAGATTTAGCGCTGGCTTATCGCAGCTCTACTGCCTCCTATTTACGTCGAATTTTCTTATAAAATTAGTATATTTCGAAGTAAAACAATGTTTTTTCAACTTCTACAGCCAGCACCGACATTGTAGTAAACAAATATGTTACATTTGTTGTTTACCTACGTAATTCTAAGAGATACTGTGTAGCTGTCCTTGTTGCTCGGAAGATGCGCTGACAATTATTGTATATATTTACTGAATTTACCCAAGGGCCACTAACTATCT